CCAGCCTGGGTTCCCCCCTGAGCTTTTCTGCCCCTAGGGGCAAGGAGGGCAGCACGGAGCCTGGCCCCTTTGTGAACAAGAGGCAGCTGGATGTATTGGGTGGCCCAAAGGGCGAGGGGGTCAAGGGCAGGGAGGCAGAGGTGGGCCTGCCCATGTGCACGCCCTCTGACAAGGCCTCGTCGCACAGCAAGGTGGGCAAGGGCCGGGACCGCGAGCCTGACTTCAAGAATGGCCACAATCTCTTCATTTCCGCTGCGGCCGTGCCTACTGGGGGTCTCCTCAGCGGTCCAGGCCTCACCACGGCAGTGTCTTCAGCAGGCGGCACAGCCCCCTCCCAGACACACCGGCCCTTCCTGGGCACTTTTGCACCTGGCCCGCAGTTCGCCTTGGGCCCCATGTCCCTGCAGGCCAACCTAGGCTCGTCTGTGCTGCAGTCCTTGTTCAGCTCTGTGCCGGCTGCCGCTGGCCTAGTGCACGTCTCATCAGCTGCAACAAGACTGACCAACTCGCATGCCATGGGCAGCTTTTCCTCTGGTGTGGCAGGCGGTGCAGTTGGAGGTAGGCAGAAGCGCGTCTCTCCTGTCTGACTCTGGTCCTGTGGGACCTGCTGTGGGGTCTGAGATGCCAAGCCATTGCCGAGGCCTCCTGGACCACTGGGTTTAATCACAACTGCTTTACAGGTTCCCTTCCAGAGCCCTCTAAGGGGTGAGAGGCTGTCCTCGCGTGTCTCTTTGTGTCTACTTTGCACCCGCCACCTCGTTCCTTTTCATGAAACACAGATGTGACTGTCACATGGGCAGAGCACTCACGCGTGAGTTGGCCTGTCAGGCTCTCCAGTTGTGACAGTGTCTCCCATACCTTCAGGAGAGCTGGCGCCATGACTAGGGTTTTTCTGCCTCCCTGTGGAGGTCACTGTCAGATCTGACACAGCCTGTGGGCTCTGGGCAGCTTTAAGGACTGGCATTGGGAAGAGAGTAGCCACAGCGCCCACTGCACTGTGACTCTGTGTAGGGTGGAGTGGAGCCACGGGGTTGGGCCCTCTGTGGTCCCAGACCTCCACAGGTGGCTCCTTGCTGGGCATAGGTGGGCAAGGTGCTCATGGCTGGGAGCCCAGGAGGGCATGCTGAGGGGGGTGTGGCCCGGGGCCATCCTGCAGGTAAGTCTCACCTGGCCACCTGCACTCCTGCTGCCTGCTGCTTTGTCCCTGCACCTGCGTGCACTCAGAGCTGCGGCTGCTGTCTGCTTCCCCTTTTTTGCGTGTGTCTCTTCGCTTGCCTGGAGAATGCCCGCCTGTTGAAGCTAAGTTTTTCTCTCCTGTTTGCAGGTATCTTTAACCACGCGGTGCCTTCCTCCTCCACTCATCCGTTTGGAGCCAGTTTCGGCAGCGGGGCTGCTTGTCGCAGCACCACGCTGAGCTTAACCCCCGTGCAGGCGGTGGCCAGTACCCCCGCCTCTTCCTTTCAGGCCCTGTCTTCTGTGGAGACGAGGCAGCCCCCACCCCAGCCTCCTCTGTCCATGGGTCGTCCCCCTGCGGGGCCACCAGCACTCCACGAGCCCCCCCCTCCTAACGTCGCCTTGCCTCCTGCTCCCGCGATGCTCCCTGCTAACTCTGAGCCCGTGGTCCTACAGAAACTTGCGCCCCTCCCGGCTAACCAAGCTTTCTTACCTGCTTCCTCTGCTGCTTCTCTGCCTCCTGCTAACGCCTCTCTGTCCATCAAGCTCGCCTCCCTCCCACACAAGGTCTCCCGTCCCTCCTTCATGGTGCACCACCAGTCCCTGCCGGGGCTGGCCCTGGCCCAGGCCTCGCCCATGATCCCACAGGCCAGCTCCACGGGTCCATCCGCCATGTGGGTTTCCCTTGGCATGCCGCCTCCTTATGCCGCGCGCCTTGCGGGGGTTAAGCCGCGATAAAGACCTTGGTTAGCTAGCCGTTCTGTTCTGTAAGGTAAGGCTAGAGCCCAACCAGGTGGCCCGTACAAGAAACTCACCTGTCCTTTTTCCCACAGAGAGTGGACGAGCCCACAGGGTTCTGTGGAGGGACCTGGGACTGTCGGTTCTAAGAGGCGCCAAGGAAAAATAAGCACAGGGTGGGGAGGGAGACCATGGCAGCCATGCCCATTGGCCTCTGAGTGCGCACCACCAGAGCTTGGGAGGGAGTGACCAACCCTTGGTGCACATCAGACCTTCCCACCAGGTCCCACGGTGCTCCAGCCCAAGGAGACAGCAGATCAAGGAGGCCCACAGGCTAGGTGGGCAGGGGACTGCATTAAGTCCTGCAGGGATGGGACCAAGAGGAGGTGGATGAGGCCATCAGCCTAGCCCATACAGCCCAGCTCCATCTTGCTGCTGCACTCCAGTTGTACGTCTGTAGTGGTCAGGCACAGGCAGCCCCAATGTGGGGCCGTGGAGGGCAGCTCTGAAGTTCAGCATTGCCATTTGTCCGCTCTTGGGCCACTCTCCAGCTTGTTTCATTGAATGTACTTCATGGTTTTAGGAAAATTCCAGGCATTTGAGGCCCCTGGTATTTAGCAGGCTTTTAGAAGATGGCGGTTGTGTTGAGCTACTTAACTAGAGGTCACTGCCTGCAGGCCCCAACCCACATGTACTGGAGGCCAGTGGAAATGGGATGAGCATGGTGCAACCACAGTAAGGGCTTCCTGGGCAGGTGGTCGTTTCTCCACTGGCCTACAAGGAATTGGGCTCATGTATTTCAGCTGTCATTGTGGCATCAGAAGAGAGTAGTGTAGGAAGGACCTGACTTTTGGAATGGGGTAAGGAAGGTGGCTGTGAGGCTGTCAGGGAGGCCATCTGCTCCTTTGCTTGCTGTGGGGGTGTTAGACAGCTGGGCCCCTAGAGCAGCTGACCCAGCCACTGCTGGTGGGGCAAAGGGCCCTCCTGGGCAAGTCTACGGCCTATGGGATGAATACTCCAGGTCAAAACTGGGTGCTCACTCAGCGCCAAGAGCAAGGTGTGAGGTCTGGCTGCTGTACTTGGCTGTCTGCATGTTTTAAGTGGAAACAGACGTGAGGCTGCTGAAAGTCTGACAGCCTTCTAATTGGGGCTCAGGTCTGGGGATGGACAATGCCTTGGCCCTGGTGGAAAAGCCTGGAAAGGTAGGGTGGCTCCAGTTCATAGTGGCCTCATGCTGTCAGAGAAGGCACTGTGGCTGGTACTGGCTTGAAGAGGTCAGAGATGCATATGTGGAAGCATCTGGGTGTCACTCTCCCTGTCCTGACCCACAGTGGACAGCTGCCTTCCATCCTATCCTGGGCCCATCCTGATGGCCTCCCCAGACTGGACAGTGATGACCTCACTTCCAGAGCGTGCAGGCCTGTCGGTGGGGCTGCCCGTAGGTGCAGCGCTCCCTTCCCATGAGCTGGTGTATGGTGACCAGGGAGGGTCTCGGTTCCAAGACTCCCAGGGAGGAGGGGAGGCTGGGACTCAGTGCCCCATGAAGGGCCTTGGGATGGTGACCTCCTGCCTCTGACTGTGCCAGGGGTGTGGCACAACTGTGTGTGCAATGACCAAGTTCCTTCCATCCGTCTGTAGGCTTTGGTTCCCGGCCTGGGGATGCGTGGGCTTCTCTGGGTGAGACACTAACACTGTGCTGCCTTTCCTCCTGCGCCGGTGTCTGCAGGTAACTAGGATTTCTACCTCAACCTCGAGACCTGTGCAAGGACAGGTGGGCCATGAGGCTGGTGGCCAACCAGATGGTGGGACAGACCGAGGACAAGGCTCTGCTGTGAGTCCACGCTGCGCAGACCTGCGGGAGATGCTGGGCCTGCCTCCAGCTTATACTGTCGATAGTTTTAGATAAAGTATTTATCGTTTTTTAAAAAGTATAAACAATTTTGACTTATTCCACGGAAGTCATAAAGGCAACTTATTAAGAAATGTAAATACTATATATGAGAGGATCTATATAAAGACATCGACCCAACGGACTGGCCCGCCAGCGAAGACGCCAATAGCCGGGCCCGGTGCTATCTCGTCGCCAGGCCTCGTCGTCTCCACGTTCTCTTGGTGCTGACTCGAGGTTGACCAACGCCAAAACCAGTCCTTGATGCGCCTGCCCTATCATCCCCACATTTTCCCATACCAAAGGCACGACTGTCTCCTGGTCGAGGGTGGTTCTCTTGGTTTTTAATGCCCCTCGGAAAAGGCCCTCTTCCCCACCCCATCACTGTGAATGCTCCAGCCAGATTGTCAGCCCTGGCCCCGGGATGGCACCTTTGGCATAGGAAGGGCCTGTGGATGGCCTCCAGATGCTGCTCGGAGGAGGGCTGCTGTGAGTGGTGCTCTTGGGGCAGGTCTGGTACTTGACTCCAATGTGGGGCTCCGGGGAGCAAGTGCTTTATCTGTATGTCCGTACTGTCTTGGGCTTGCGCAGTCTGGGGGCGCTGGCCGGGTCGTGGGGCAGGTTAGCCGTGGGTGCCTGGTGTGTCTGTACAGAAAAGAGTCACGCTGACAAGTGACAGTATTTTATAGAGATGTGATGAAAATTTATAAATTTCATAGACTTGACTTCATTTATTTTTAGATGGTATTAATGCACAGTAAACTTTAAAAAAAAAAAAAGGAAGAAAAGTGAGGGGAAAACCTTTTTATTTATTCAAGTGTACACAAGTGGCGTTGGCCCAGGGCCAGAGCGCTCCATTGTCCCCCTGGTCGGTCCATGCTGCTGTTCCGTGGCCCTTCAACCCCACAGCTGGGTTAACAACTGCCCCTATGCTGGAGCAGCCTCCATGGTGCTTGGGAATGAATGCACCTTGGGTGATCTTTGAGGGCAAAGGCTGGCTTTGCAGGGCAGACAGGAGAGCTGTTTGGATGCTTTCAGAAGTTACCAAAAGGGTTCTTGGGTCCCTCCAGCGCTGCAGTCTCAACCAGGCCTGGATCTCTTGGTTGAGCAGTGTTTGTGCGTTGTCCCTGAAAGGGCGGGTCCAGAAGCCCTCAGTCCTCTTTAAGGGCAATCAGCCAATGGTCCTGGCTGGTAGCGGGGCCTGGACCCCTCGCGGTGGGGTGCTCCAGCTTGGGTGGGTTCAGTCAGAGCCCTGGCTGCTCTGGTGCTTGTCCCTATGACATGGCACTGCCAAGGAACATGGGAACTCAAAGCCTCTGACTCATTTTTCCCCAGCCTGGCCAGTGCAGCCCACCCCTCCAGATGTGGCTGCCAGGGGCCCACTGCCTGCCTGGGAGAGCTGGTGTGGCAGGCCTGGCCCGATCCCACTCCCTCCTGATCCTTGGGGACAGCTGGAGCTGGCCTTTCTGCGGGGTGGGCAGTGATCTTGTGGAACACAGGCCCAAAAAGGTGCAGAGCAGTCTTGGCTGTTGACCTCATTTCCTCAGGTGGGTCCTGGTAGAGCCCTGCCTGTTTGCCCTGGGGTGATGCCTGGCCCAAAACAATAGTTGAGGCTGAAGATGGTGCTTGGACAGGTTTTCCTAACTGGCTGTCCTGTAACTGCTGCCCTGGCTCCCTTACCTCCTGGCCTGTGCTTTTGGTACATGAAGGTGCTGTGCTCACCCCGTATCCCACAAGCTCATCCCAGCACAGGGCAGTGCTCTTCTCCATGTTGGGAGCACAGGGGTCCCTAAACAGCTGCAGGGCTAACAGTAGCAAAGGTTACAGCACGTGGCAGGTCCCTGGTCTGGAACCAAACAATCCTGTACTCAACACTGCATCACTTCATGGTGACTGTGCACCACCGTGTAGGACTTACTACTGATGTGCCATGTCTGTGCTCTCCACACAACCAAGTCTGCCCAACAGCAGGCAGAGCTGGGTTCTGCTGGTTAACACTGTGGTCTCTTCTGGGCCCACCCTCCAGCCCTCCCGACTGTGAGGTTGAATGACCGCTGCTGGCAGCAAAGGCAGCTGCAGGAGGTAAGGCCAAATGAACAACCCCATCACCACCACCCTTGGGAACGAGTTCTAGTCTCTGGGCAGAGACCCAGTGCTGCTCTGACTGCAGGCAACTTCAGAGAAGCCCTGGGCTGTGAGGGCGCCTTGCTCAGGAAAACCTAACTCAGAACACCCTCCCAGTCAGGAGGAACCAGCCTTCCCTTCCATTTATGACTTGTGATTTATTTAAGACAGACTTGCCCCTTTATTTATCCGCGCCGTCCTAGGAGACTTCATTTCCCCATTACCCTGTCATTCCCATTCACATGGTCCATCCACTCTGGCTTGTGGCTTGTGTCTCGATGACCTTGACTGTTATTTGGACTGGCCCTGCTTTGTCATTCTGGTAGACCATGTTTCAGTTGGGGTCGCTGGTGTGGCCCATCCCTTTGGGTTGCTGGCTTGACCCTTTCCCTAAGGAAACCCCACTGCACTCTAATTTCCATCTCTAGACTGTAATAAAATGTTTGTTTTCACTTGAACCTGGTCTGCTGGCATTTCTCCCTGGTTACCACATGGTGACACCTTAGAGAGATACTTGAGGGCCCCACGTGGGGAGGATGGTCATACACAGCAGAGGCCCAGCCTGCTCCTGAAACAGCTGCTGTGACAGGAAGACAGGGATGCCCACCTCTTGGAGGCCTAGCCCCTGTAGGCATTGTTATTTGACTAGGTCAGCACTCATCCCCCCCAAGAATGGCCCTTCTGATGAACTAAAACCAAACCCTTTCCAAGGTTCCCAACCTGCAATTACCAAGGAGTCCTGTGGCTGGAGGCGGAGTCACCGGTAATCTGAGGATCCCATCACCAGCACCCCCATTCTCCCTCAAGGCCTGTGAGGAAGGCTCCTAGCATTCCCTGCCTTTCTAGGCTCTAGGTTCTGGGTCTCCTCCCCTCAGTATGGGCAGCCCAGCCTCTTCCTCCCAGGCACTTAAACCTCAGGCCTGGAGAGGCCCTCTTCCCCAGGAGTCTCACTTCCCTCAGGAACCTGCTCTGCTGCCTGTGGAGGGCATCCATCCCGTCCCTATTTGCATTCACTGCACGCCATCCCGTCTGGAAAAGAGGTACCTTTATTTGAGCAGAACAAGCATGTCAGCTCGAGGGCAAACGCTTCCAGCTCTGTCCAGAGGTGCTGGTGGGGTCCTGGCCCTCAGCAGAATTCACAGCAGTCCAGGAGGCGCGGCCTCCGCGCCCTTCACAGCATTATCTAGCTTCATACATTCAGCCTGCACAGGGCAAGAGAGCTGCGCCGGCCTCGGGCATCCACCAGGCCCTAGGTGGATGGGCCCCAGGAGGCAGGCACAGCTCCTAGGAGTAGACACTCGTCCCCTAGCAGCAGCATGTGGCACTGACAGGTGCTGGACTAGTCTGATGGGTCCCAAGGCACAGCCTCTGCCCACCCTCACCAGCCTTAGGCTATTGAAGTCTTTAAGCCAAAACACCTCACTCCAAAAATCCAGGTTTGGCCAGGAAACCCAGGGCCCGGCGAGGGTGGGGAGGGCTCCTTCAGGCCCCAGTGAGTCAAGCTGAGGAGCCCAAGCCCAATCCTAGACTCATGCCTTCAAGCCACTCAGCTGGAACCGGGCCTCCTCCGATATGCCGAACTGTTCCAGGGGGTCCTGTGTGGTGGACGGGTGGCATGAGCCCGGGCCGAGGAACAACCTCCCACTTCCCATGCCCTGTGCACACCTTGCCAGTCATCTTCTGGATCTCATTCCTGTAGAAAATGACGCTCCTGCGCATGAACTCGTAGCTGAGGAAAGAAATAGCCTGTGCTCAAAGGGCCCAGCTCTGCCCCTGCCCCAGGCCCCCAGGCCCCCAGGCCAACCAACCCACACCCCACACCCCACACCCCACCTGGCTCGACGAAGAGCCCCCATCCACTCCTGACACTGCTCCTCGTTGCAGCACTCAAAGTGATACTTCCTCTCTGGGTCCTCGACGAAGCCTGCAGAGGAAAGGACCCCGTTTCCCCCTGCTCACTCCTACCCCTACCCATGCTAGCCACAGGTCATAGCTTCCTGTTGCCACTGTCCACAATTGTCCCCTTCTCCAGCTCCAGCTTGGGCTCATTGCTTGCCACCAGCTGTGGATTGAATTGTATCCCCCAAAAGAGTGTGTTCAAAACCTAGCTCCTGAAATCTAAGAACAGGGCCTATATGGATACAAGATAGTTATAAGTGTAGTTACTTAACACAAGGTGACACTGGAGTGGGGTAGACTCCTAATACAATAGATTTGGTGTACTTATAAAAAGGAAAAATGGGCATAGACACGCAGGAAAAAGGCCACAGGATTCTGGAAGCAGAGACAAGGATGATGCTTCTACAAGCCGAGAAACGCTAAAGATTGCCAAAGGACTCCAGAAACTGGGAGAACATAATACTGATTCTCCCTCAAAAGGAACCAGTCCTGCCAACTCCCCAACCTCGAACTTCTGCCCTCCCGCACTGCGGGAAATAAATTTCTGCTGTTGAAGCCCCACAGTCCGCGGCACCGAGTTAAGGCCATTACAGGAAACCAGAAGTTCTGCCTTCCTCTGCAAACTCGACCCTCTCAAGTGGAAGCACCCCGAGAGGGCAGTGCTCGCCAACTGGAGTGAAAATCCTGGTGGCCTTGGCGGGGGCAGTTACGAAGTGGCTGGGATGGGTGTGCACAGTTTGCCCCACAAGGAAGAAACAGCGGACTTTGTTTTTAAGGAGGGGCAGAGCAAACCTAGGGTCACCTGCCTGGTCCCCGCCTCCCGCACTCACTGATGGAGAAGCTGGTGGGCTCTTCATGGGTCACTCTGCAGTGCTCCAGCAGCAAGGCTCCAACAGGCTGAGGGCAGAAGAGCCAGATGGGCGGGCCTCCCGGGTACCCTAGCCCCCCGACCGCAGCCCGGGACCCGCCTCCCCACCATCCTACCTCGGCCTCGTCGGTCCGGAAGTAGAAAAGGAAATTGACCACCAGCTTCACCAGCCTGCGCTTCACCACTGCGGATACAGGGCGGGCTCGCGCAGGCTCGGCGACCGTCCACGCTGCTTCCACCCGCAGCCCCGCCCGCCCACTCCCCAGCCCACAGTCCCTGCCCCGCTCACCGCTGCCCTTCTTGGGGCCCCGCATGCCCAGCTCGGCCGCCAGCTCGGCCGGCTGCCGGGACAACGCCTGTAGCTCTTTTTCGTTGTAGCGCATGGCGCCCCAGGCCCCAGAACGCGGAGGACGGGCGACGACCCTCCCGGCCACCGTCCCCGCTCACACCAAAAACGTTCCAAGGCGCCTTCCCGGAAGCTCTCCCTAAGCTAATGCGCCTGCGTATTCCCGGATCCCGCATCCTGTCAATCAACGGCCAAGGGCCACAGGGACGGAGTAAAACAGGCGTTCGTGGGGCGTGCGGGATAGCAGGCGTCACGGATGGTCATTATGTGCAATATATTGGACCCGGGGTGGAAACAGAGCCCCTAGAACTATGGCGCCCATTACTGAAATAGACAGGAACAGGCGGAGGAGGGGAGTCGCAGCCTTCCCTCCCGCGGAACTGTCCAAGCGCGACCAAATGGTTGTTTGGAGAGCCTGGTGGACATGCGTGCTTTATCGTTCGGCCCGCATTTTTTCAGCCGCGCCCCCTTCCCTCGCGCCTCCAGTGCGCCCCCGCCGCTGGGACCGAACATGCGCACATCGGAGGCCCCGCCCCGTTTGCCTCCGGAAGTGCTGCCTTAGCCCGCGGCGCATGCGCATTGGGCGTAGTCGTGGCGGTGGTGGCTGAATAGGCGAAGAAACCGCGGTCTTGGGTGCAGGTAAGGAGAGGAGCGGAGCGAGAGCGGCGAACCAGGATCCTGAAGTTCCCTGGGAGGAACCGAACGTGGGCGAGGGGCGCTTGCGGCGCGGGTTGAGGACGGACGGCTGCGTCGCCCACTACTCAGGAATGTCGGGCCTGTGTCTCCGGCGTCCACCCCAGCCCCGCTAGCTTGGAACTTTCCAGTGACCTACTGAGATCCATTTGGGGTCGCAGCTCACCTGGCGCCTTCCGTGTAACCGAGGACCTCTCAGAGCGCTAATTTGCATCCGTTAGTTGACTGGCTCTGTGTTCCCGTAGTCACATGGTTCCGCTGAGCCTGTTTCTATACTTGGAATGGGAGCAACAGTGGTTACCGGTTACCGGTTACCGGTTAGGCCAACTAAATAATAATTAAGGTCTTGGGGACAGAGAGCCCAACGCCGTGCCGGAGGCTACCAGAGCCCGTTAGCTGGCCCCACGTCGCCGGCAGAGCCCCGAGGTTATTAAATGACTTTCCCATCGATCAGACTGCGATGCCTAAACCGTTCTTTCCTATACCCTTTGGCAACTAAGAAGGGGCGGAAAACTCTCCCGATAATAATTTGTTTCCCAGTTTTAGGAAATAATAGCCTATTGATAAAAAGCTGTCTTTCATCCTTGCTCCCTTCTTGGCCCCAGAGACCGCTTCTGCTGTATGCTTAAAGTTGGTTCTTTTTAAAGAACAATTCTTTCTGAGTGTGTCGCTTTCAGACGCTGCCTGCTGACTTACAGTTGTGATTGATGAGGTCTGTCGTCTTCTTCCCACCCACCGAGCTACCAGCTTCACCCTCCATACCTAGATGTGCTTATGGCATAAGCATTATTAGTCAAATCATTAGTTCTATTTCCTGAGACTGAAAATAAGACTCATTGTTAAGGCAGGCAGCATGTTTGGAAACATTTTTCACAAACGTTGGCATTCTCCTGCTCCACTTTGTTCTAGTTGCTTACAGCAAAGCAGTTGTCCTATAACTTTATGTTAGTGCCCTCCTAGGTTGGTTTCTGTTTTCAATCTAATGATTTCCTTCTGTAAGTTCATATTCTGGTTCTTTTCGTAGAAATTGATTGATTCAGAGTTGATTGATTGATTTTGAGTCCTTGGTTATTTGAAAATGGCTTTATTTACCCTCACAGTTTGGGTATAAAATTAAAGTTTTGGGTTGAAAATCTGCACTGAGATGTGGGAGTGTTGCTCCTCTTACCAGTTTAATGCTGTTCTGAAATGTCTGGCCCCATTCTGCTTTTTGACCTTTTCTTTTTTTCTCTGTAGTAGAAACAGGGTTTTCCTCACTGGTATACAGTTTCACGAACAATTTATTGAGGGTCTTTTTGTTTCTATGGGAAGAATTAGATCCTTTCAGTCCCGGGACACTTTCTATTGCTTCTTCTGTAATGTTTATCTCTGTTTCTGTTCTCACTCTATAATTTCATCTGTGTCTACTTTTGTTATTGTTTTCCTTTATGAGAGTTTTTTTTAACTTTTATGTATTTTAAAGTTTTTTTTTTTTAATTTGCTTATTTTTAGAGAGAGAGGAAGGAAAGAAGAGAGAGAAACATTGATTTGTTGCCTCTCAAACATCCCCAGCTCGGGACCTGGCCCGGGAATTAAACCAGCAACCTTTCGGTTCTCAGGCCAGCACTCAATCCACCGAGCCACACCAGCCAGGACTCTTTGACTTAAAAAAAGAAAGAAAGAAAGAAGGTTTTTATTGCTTGATTTTTAAAGAGAGCAAGAGCCCTGACTGGTGTAGTTTAGTGGGTTGGGTGTCATCCTGCAAACCACAATATTGTGGGTTCGATTTCCAGTCATGGCACATGCCTGGGTTATAGGCCAGGTCCCAGTTGGGAGTGCACGAGAGGCAACCAATCGATACTTCTCTTCCTCTCTTTCTCCCTCCCTTCTCCCCTCTCTAAAAATAAATAAATAAATAAAACTATTTAAAAGGAGAGCAAGAGAAACGATTGATTTGTTGTTCCACTTATTGATGCATCCATTGGTTGATTATTGTATATGCCCGGACCGGGAATTGAACCCACAACCTTGGCATATGGGGACGATGCTCTACCAGCTGAGCTATGTTTGACTCTTACTGCTAAGCATTTGTATTCAGTTGTTTGGATCATCTGGTCTCTACTTTCCAAGGGTTCACTCACTGGGCTGGCCTTAGGCATTTATATTTTTTTAAAAATTATATTTATTAATATAAAAAATATATTAAAATTTTAAAAGATAATTAATAAGAGAGAAGGGAAGGGAGGGAGAGAGACATCAGTCAGTTGCCTCTCATACACACCCCACTATCAGGAACAGAACCCACACCCCAGGCAGGTGCCCTGAGTGGGAATCAAGCCTGTGATATTTTTGCTTTGAGGGACAACGCCCAACCAACTGAGCCACTTTAGTCAAGGCTACTGTTCTAGTTTCATGATACAGTAATTTCTCTGATAAGGAGGATATTGTCATCTTCTATTGAGGTTTCCATCAACTTTCTTTTTACTTGGGTGCATTGGGATTTTTTTTGTGTCTATTATGTGAAGTTACCAGCTCTTTGTGTGAGACCCATCCTTCTTGTGGGTCTCACTGCTCAGGGGGTCTAGTAAGGAGTTGATGTTTTGAGGGGGCATGGAGGATCCTTCAACTCTTAGGGTCTGAGAATACTTTTACCTGGCGTGCTTTCCCCAGAAAAGTCTCCTGAAGTCCCGCCCCCATTCTCCCCTCCCCGGAGCCTCCTGGCTGGGTCAGTAGGCAGGTTTTGGTGGGCTCCGCTCTTTTCAACCTGGCCCTCATCCCCATCCTCTCTTGTGCCTGCCTCTCTCACCTGAGACACCCCTCATTCTAGTTCTTGTGAATATAAAACTGATTTCCCTGGGGAGCCGAGAGGACATGGGCAGGGACCTTCCTCTCAGGGTGTTGTTCAGGGTAAGGGTTCTGCCAGGGGAGGGATGATGTGAGCTACGAGTAACCAGCGGTTTGGTTTCTGAGAGTTGCTTATTTTTACTCTAATTTGGTGAGGAATTCAGAATTAAGTACGATGTATTGCTGTATATAGTGCGCACCCATGGTTTTTGCCCTAACTTTCAGGGGAAAATTTTTTCAATTTAATTTTTTAATTCAATTTGTTATTTATATTTAAAGACAAAGCCGATTATTTGTATTCCAGAGTATTATTTTGCATATGGCTATCGTTATTGCTTTATAGAATTACATAGTTAGTGCCTAAGCATAAAGAGTTAAGAAACACTTATATAGATACAGAATTAGTACTACCCGTGTATAATGCACATCCTTATTTTTTCCTCAAAAATTTGGGCAAGAAAGTATACATTATACACGGCAAAATACAAGTATTTGCTTGGGTTTGGATTTCTCTGAGCCAGTCGGGTTTCTCACAGCAGGTAACTTTCTCAGCACCAGCCAGCCACTAGCCATTTAGGAGCTTATTCTGGCCATTTAGGAAGGAACTGGGCTTGCTGCAGTCCCAGGATGACTGAAGATTGGTCCCATGGGGGATTTTAGACCTGGCCCATGGAGGTTTTGGGGGCGGGTGAGAAATGAAGGTGAGCGTGTGGTCTCCTCCCTTGCCTGCTCCCTCTCCCAGGTTTGAGTGCGGCAGGCCCAGGGAGGTCCCAGTGATAGCCCGCTACATTCAGCTCACTGCCTCTCCCTTGGCCCCTACCAGGTTTCTCCCCATTCTGATAGAGCCCCAAGGCCTTCAACCATGGACTTCCAGCATCGCCCAGGGGGCAAGACCGGGAGTGGGGGCGTGGCCTCCTCTTCGGAGAGCAACCGCGACCGCAGGGAGCGCCTCCGGCAGTTGGCCCTGGAGACCATTGACATCAACAAGGTGAGGTGGGGCCAGGAGGGGTTCCCCACAGCCGACTTCTCACCCTGGAGCCACGTTCCAGATGCTTGCACATGTGGTCTGAACAGCTGCCTGGCTGTCTGGACCTCAGGCTTCTCCTATCTGTAAACAGGGGGACTTGACCTAGAGCAGCAGGTCTCAACTGAGCACCCAAGACTGTCCACAGTTAGTGATCCCACATTTGAAGTTTTTTTTGTTCTTTGTTTTTTTGACTGGGTGAGGCATTTCGGTTTTGTTTGTTTAATCTACTAGCAGCATGGAAAATCTCCAGTGGGGAGGGCCATGATGGTATCACATGAATTGATATCATTGCAGCCATAGGCAGTGAAGAGCCCATTTTAGTTCAGCCACAGCCACACAGGGTATTAGGAGAACAGTTCTCCCCTTGGGCACTGCTGACGTTGGTCAACGTCTGTGGGGGCCAACCTGGGCACTGTGGGGTGTCGAGCAGCATCCCTGCCCCCCAATGCCAGGAGTACCCCCAATCATGATGACCACAGATGTCCCCAGATTTCTCCCAGTGGCCCAAGTGAGAGCCAGGCAATCAGCGTATGGTTCGCCTTAGACTTTGAAATCCCCTGAAGTGTATGGGGCCCTTGC